AACAGTAGCTGTTGTGATTTAACACTTCTGGATCGACTTTGGTAAGATGTGAACCAAGGTATCAACAGTAGCTGTTGTGATTTAACACTTCTGGATCGACTTTGGTAAGATGTGAACCAAGGTATCAACAGTAGCTGTTGTGATTTAACACTTCTGGATTCACTTTGGTAAGATGTGAACCAGGTATCAACAGTAGCTGTTGTGATTTAACACTTCTGGATTGACTTTGGTAAGATGTGAACTAGTTATCAACAGTAGGTTTTATGATTTGTTTCTTGTAGTACTCTGGAGTATAGGTTCTCTTTTGTGTGTTTGCTGCTTAAAATTAAAATAATTTGCCCAAAGGATGGAAAGATGTACAACTGACTATCTAACTGGCTGTAACCAAGAGTGTATTAATGCTGCTTTCCACCCATCATATACCAGTATTTTTAACTTTCACATATTTTGGTCAATAACCAAGTGTTTACTTATATATTTTGAAAATTTAAATGTTTACAATACTTTTATGAAAAGGTTGTATAGATATGTATGCCATTATATCTACCCATTTTGTAGGTAATTGCAACCTATGTTGCTGAGAGGCCGAAGGAGGAGAGCATTAAACTTGACTACAAGAACAAACGTCTCTTAATTCCTCAGCTTATGCCTGGCCTAACTTCAAGTGAATTGCCACCACGATATGCTGTAAGAATATTCTTACTTAAAAGTTTTGTTTTTAAACCATTTTGTTATATAAATTTTGAGAATTAGGTTCTTTGTTAATTTTTATTGCTATTTTTTGAAATTTTATGCAACATTTTGTGAAACTAAACTATTTACTTATTGAAATACACCTGTATTTTTATCTGGTTTAATGTTCAATTGATAATGTTACATATTTGCTTGTTTGTTATTTTCCGGTAGAAATTCTTTCCAAGGAACATCAGCAATACAAGTCCTTTCTTGATTAAACAGTTTATTCTTTCTTGATACAAACTTTTAGTACACAGTAATTCCACAGTCAATACGTTAACAACTTTTATAATACACGCTATTATATAACACAGTGATTGACAATCTTGATAACTTTGCTACAAGTGCAAAACACACACACTTTATATTACAGTCACTACTGTTCACTTCTTTAATTATCTATATCTCGCTGGCTTCTCTGCCAGGCCTATATACTAACAAAGGGGGTATTTTGAATGCACTCGGGCCTCCCCGATCATTCATGATCATTCGAGAAATTTCACATACGCTACCAGCACCAAACACGCCAGCAGTGTCACGTGACTACCACTGTCGTAACAATAAAATTGTACCCAATAAATCTATTGGAAAACATTTTAGTTGGATTTTGTTCTCTGCTTTTGTTGTGCGAAGAAAATGTTTATGTATTGACATTTTATATGATATTTATTAGTCATCATCTGATGACCCTGTCTTATAATTTTGATTAACATTTTATATAGTATTTAGTAGTCATCATCTGATGATCGTGTCTTATAATTTTTATTGACATTTTATATAGTATTTATTAGTCATCATCTGATGACCGTGTCTTATAATTTTCATTAACATTTTATATGGATTTATTAGTCATCATCTGATGACCCTGTCTTATAATTTTATTAACATTTTATATGGTATTTATTAGTCATCATCTGATGACTGTGTCTTAGAATTCTTATTGATATTTTATATGGTCTCATGAGACAAAGACATATATTCCACTCCATAGTGCTCCTTAGGGGGGCTCTGAGGCTGCAATTGAGGGCAATCCTTGACATTCTGTAAATAACTTAGATTTGCTTTTTGCTGTGCCTTCTTTTTGACTGAGTGGGGAGTTTACAGGCTTGCAGCACTGGAATCTGGGGTTTGATTTCCTATAGTAGACACAGCAGATAGCCCAATGTTGCTTTGCTCCTACAAAACAAACTTACCTGACTAAATGTTGTTCCAATCATTGTTAATGAACACAGTCTTTAAATGAAATACAAAAGAAATGAGGCCACTTTGGGTTAAGCTGCCTTTGATTCGTTTTCTTCAGTTGGTTCATCAAGTTTATGATGTTTTGTGTCTTTCCCCAGTTGATTTTGAGCCTGCATCTTACTTGAGGGCTGCAAAGTCTGGGAGCAACTATTTAGTTTTTCTTTCCATCCATGGACATTGTGGCTCATGCAGGCAGTTTCCTTATCAGTTACGTGAAGGGATGGTTATCCAACAGAGTTGTCGGAACTTCGTGATTTAGCCTACCACCACCGGGTCGAAGCATTTTCCGACTCTCAACTTTTATAATTTTTATTGACATTTTATATGTTATTTATTAGTTGTCATCTGATGACCCTGTCTTATAATTTTTATTGACATTTTATATGTTATTTATTAGTTGTCATCTGATGACCCTGTCTTATAATTTTTATTGACATTTTATATGGTATTTATTAGTTGTCATCTGATGACCCTGTCTTATAATTTTTATTGACATTTTATATGGTATTTATTAGTCATCATCTGATGACTGTGTCTTAGAATTCTTATTGATATTTTATATGGTCTCATAACTGCTCCTTGAATTTCAGGGGTTCTCTGGTGGAGTTTGTTGTTCACCTGAATACATTGATGACCCCTGTTGGGACATGGTTTATATACGGATTTAAAATTATAAACTCCAACCTTTTGTTTTTCTTATACTACACTTTGTTGGAAGCTTCTCAGTTTCACCAACTTCATTGACGATGAGTAGGAACCATTCTTAGCATATATATTGGTTCAATTGTTGGCTTCTACACTCATCCCTGTTGTCATTGACGTCTCAAATTTCTTAGTTCAGCCCCCTATTCGAGGGTCCTGATTTTGACATCAGCCTCTCAGTACATTGGTACCCAAAATCGATTCTGTCTATATCCACGGGTTCCGCTGCTTGTTCAGATTGCCACCAGCAGCATCTCTGTTTATTGTATGCCTTCAGGACCTGTGGGAGCTAGGCTCTGAGTATTTCTGGATGTGTGGTACCCTTGCCCACGGATCCAGGAGCACTAAAGGTCCTTGAATCAGGTTTAGTCATTCAGTTCACATCTTCACCACTATTATCCACCCAACCTGTAGGTTTTCCATCTCCCACAGATGCTCGTGAATTGGAACATTCTAGGGCTATCAGTGTTTGGCTAGTGTGGTGGTAGTGAGAGTGTCGTGCTAGTTCTTTCAGAGTTTTATTAGGCCAAAGAAGACAGGTGATTGGTGTTCAAGATTTATTGTTCAGTCATTGGATCTTTTTCGTTTATATCAATGCTTCAATTCTCCAAGATTCATAAGTTACTCATTTCTCAGTGTAAGTTGACATTTTTTACTGGAATTGTGGATGTCCAAGTTCATTGTAATTGGCTTGTATTTGCACGTTGTCATAGTTGTGGCATCCCACCACTGTCAGCGTTTTTTGTGTACAAGGGTCAGGTACTGGATTTTACCCTTGGACTAGTACAGGCTTCACATTGGTTCTGCCAAATCATAAGGTTTTTTTTTCTCTCATCACCTCCATTCCATAGCTCTGTGCGCACACCATTCCATAGACGACTGTTTTCAGCTGGCACCATCTCATTTGTCAGGACAGCACACCTGGATTCTACTTTGAGAAACCATCAAGGTCGGCTTTATTCTCAAAGTTGAGACATTTGTTCTTGCTCTAATTCAATATGTCATCACTTTGGATATTTTATTTTTCATGATGTCTCTGAGTCTGGTTCAGCTGACTTGCATCTGGCTCCATGCTATGGAATAGGAAACCCATCTCTTACTTACCTTTCCTTCTCCCACTGCACAGACATTTCTTTCTCTTCTGAGAATGTGGGCTCACTTGAATCCCTCATGCCTTTGGGACAGAGCACAAGTGATTCTTTTTAATGGTATTTATGTGACTGAGGGATCATAAACATCGATTTACTGAATTTCCAACTTTCCTTATTCAGGATCATTCTTCTATCTTGAAAGGTTGTTAAGTTGGGATGTTACTAACATATGAGTTCCTATACTGCCCTCTCATCCAGTGTTCCATCTCTTCAAGGTGGATGAGGCTTCCTTACACATAGTTTTAGTTCTTCTTGTTCTTCCAAAGGCAGTGCTTCATAGTCTGGGCTTATTATGGGGAAAATCGTCAGGCTTAATTCTAACAATTCCATGGTGGTGTCTTGTGTTTCTCATCGAGGAGGCACTTGGTCCAGAGCTCTTTGTTTTCGAATCCTGGACCTCCTTTCTTAGGGACATTTTTATCATATCACCCTACTAGTATGCTATGTCCCTCAAGTGATGACTGCAGTAGCAGAGCAATTATCTTCACCCACATAGATTCTTTCAACAGAATGGATGCTGCATCTCAAGATTCTGTTGGTTTGGCTCTCATTTTGCAACTCTGATTGGTGGATTGGCTTCTCATTGGAACACCCAACTACTGGCAATTTGATCTCCAGTACCTCACCTTCAGGTTTTGCCAATGGATGCATTCAATCAGGACAAGACAGGATTACTATCCTAGGTCTTCCCTGCAATTTATATGTTACCCACGGTACTAACTATGTTTTGTTCCAACCCATTGTCAGGGCCTGTTAATAGTACCAAATTGGCAGCCACACCCTGGTTTCTGCTTCTGCAGTACCTTCGGGAGTATCCACCTCTTCCACTTCTTCTTAGGCCATCTCTTTGGAAGCTACTATGATTTGACAGGGTTCAACTGGGTATCCAGAAGCTCCAGCTTCAAGCATACAGATTACATAGTCTTTCACACGGCATCAGATTTTAATTTCTAGGGTATCTGACCCAGTTTTTTGGTTAGTCCTACAATGAACATTTTTCAATGGAAATGCCCCACATATCGGCAATGGTGTACTGAAAGGAGATTGAACCCACTTCAATCAGAAGTGCCAACCATAAATTGTTTTTGGACCTGGTTCTTTGGCAAGGGTTTTTGCACCTTCCATAACAACCGTGTATACAGTGACCTTATCGACTACCATTCGATAACATAACTGATATTTTATAGATAGCTCTTAACTCGTAACATAACTGATATTTTATAGATAGCTCTTAACTCATAATATAAATGATATTTTATAGATAGCTCTTAACTCGTAACATAACTGATATTTTATAGATAGCTCTTAACTTGTAATATAACTGGTATTTTATAGATAGCTCTTAACTCGTAACATAACTGATATTTTATAGATAGCTCTTAACTCGTAACATAACTGATATTTTATAGATAGCACTTAACGTGTAATATATTTTACAATGTTATGTATAATGTGTTTTATCTTTCATGACACTTTGTAAATGAAAAGATTGTTTTGTGCTTACTATAGAAATCAATATTTGGATTACTTAGTGGTTGTAAACTATTTAAAAAATGCTGTGATACATTTAGTGTCACGAATAGAGTGACTAGTCTGATGAGTATATATTTAGAACCCTAAAACATTTTATAAAAATATTCAATAAGTGCATTTAAATTATGGTATTTTATCAATAACATTAACTTGTTGGATGATTGTGAATAGGAATCAGTAATGGAATATTTAATAATAGTTGAGCAAAAGAAGGAAAACATAATTTGGCAAATATAAATTTGTTTTATTGCTGATAAATTAGAATTCATATCAGCTTTAAATAGTAGATTAAACTACGCAAGTCTATTGAATTAAAACTGTGAT